CTTAACCACCGACTCAAAAGCGCTGGCGTTATCGGGGTATTCCGTTAGCCGCAGGTATTCCTTATCTATAGAGTCTATGTATAGCTGCGACAGTTTGGGATTCAGATCGGCGTTATATATGGCCACCGGTATGTTATACGGACTCTGACTGATTGTCCAGTTCATGGTGACCAGGGCTACGATGGGTATCATGTAATACATGATGAGAAACATGGGTCTCCTAAGGGCCAGTACGTAGTATTTCCAGAGCATCGCCTTAATACGCGACACCTCTATTAGCTTTTTATTGAGTTTGTGTCCATTTTTGGGCGATTCCTCCACATCTTCGAGGATTTCACCGATTCTTACAGTACTTAAGGCCTGAACTAAACTCATTTGTCGGCTTTTACGGCGTTGTATATCCCGTTGACAAAGACGTAGAAATACCTCCTCCAGGGTTGAGCACTGGTATTCCGACATGAGTTGGTTGGGCGCCGACTGTTTCAATATAGTGCCGGAGTTCATGAACGCCACCTGAGCCGCACTCCGGGCCTCCTCTATATAATGAGTCGTTATTATCACTGTTTGGCCTAAAAAATAAAAATATATATTATTATTATTATTATAATATTAATTTAAATATATGAAAAATATTTATTGTTTTGAGGAATATTTAAGAAAATTAATTATTTACAAGAACCATTTAATGAGTATTAATTTCTTTAGTTTAAGAGAGTGAGTAAGTGAGTGAGTGAGAGAGAGAGAGAGAGAGAGAGCTCTAATTAAAAAATTATTAATTAGACACAAAACAGACCAAAATTAGCGCAAATATCCTCCAAATAGTCCCAAATCCTTCGCCGCAAGAGTGAGTCGACCCCCACAGTGGGCTCATCCAGTATAATAAGTCTCGGTCTGTGAATCATAGTTATGGCGATCGACACCCGGCGCTGTTGACCGCCACTGAGTTGACTGACAGGTCTGGTCTTTTCAGGCAAATTCAATAACTGCATCAACGCGTCAATCCTGATCTGCATGTCCTCTGCGTTCAGGTTATATATAGTGCCGTAATATGTGAGACACTCTTCAATCGTGAATTCCTCGAACAAAGCCAACTCTTGAGGCATATACCCGACCCCCGGCCCCGGTATGTCTGAGTAGTCGGAGCCGGATTTTACGCCAAACACTCTGATTGAGCCACTTTTGTACCGGAGTCGTCCCAATATAGTACGGATTAATGTGGTCTTTCCGGTCCCATTTGGACCCAATAAAGCAAATATATTTCCTAAAATTTGAATTTATATTAAATACTAGATTAGTAGTATTTTTTATATGATTTCCAAATAATTAATTAATAAGTTAAATTTTAAACTTTAAATTCATTTATAATTTATTAATAACTATCTTATAAAATTAGAATATTTATTTTTATTATAAATTATTATAAATATAATAATTAAAATAAATACAACTTACCCCTGGGCACCTTAAGGTTAACATTACGTAGAACTTTATGATTGCGACGGTATTCAAAATTTAAGTTTTGTACATTTACAGCCAAATCAGCCGGCGAAATATCATTTACATTATTGATACTATTATTATTATTATTTATGACATTAATGTGATTATTATTATTCGTATCGCAATTAGTTTCTGTCATTTCAAAGACCTCATTGCTATAGCCATCTGTTTTCGACATCTCGTTTGACAGACAAGTACTGTATAAAAGTTTTCAACAACTTTTTTACCTAAAAATATAACTTTTATTGGTATAGAAATAGACGCTTTTACTCATCTTTGTACTAATAATAAAGATTATTATTTGTAGTATTAATTAATAGGTATATAATAGTAAATATACTAAAGTTTATCAGAGTTAACGGATAGTGAAAAGGGAAATATCACTGAAAAATAGTTTATTACGAAATGCTAATTAGTATAAAGAAAAACTGGTTTTAAAGTGAAAACATTTCACTAGTATTTTACGGCACACATGACTACACAAACACATTAACAACGCCGGGAGATCTTTACCAGTGAACATTAAGGGATTGGAGAAATAATTTATATAATTATTAATAATATTTGGAAGAAAATTTAAAAATTAGCTAGTTTAGAATTTAAAGTTTATTTATTTAATATCATTTTTATGTTTACTATATTTAGTTCAACTGTAGTTTTATGTGTCACAGCTTTCTGAGAAGTTATGAATATATTATACTTTTTATAAAAAGTATAATACCTGTAATTATAATAACATTTAAAATTATACCAGGGATGTGCAAACCTTTCACTGCAAAGTGAATCTAGCATCAAATTTAACGTTTTTAATTTAAAATGTTTTATAATTTACCTAGAAATGTTTACTGCCAATGTAGTATTGCAAATGACATTAACAAATATTGTCTAAAAATATCTAAAAACTTATCTTCTTTATTTTTATTACAAAATTGTCCTAAATTTTGAAGGTTTTTGTCGCCCAGACTTTTAATGTCCCTGACTACTTTCAAAAATAGACATGTTCTTCAATTGCATATTACACTAATCTACTAAAATATTTTTATATTGTAATTGTTAAATAAAAAGCCGATTTTGATAAAAAGAATATTTTTAAAAACTGATATAATCTTAAACTAAAGTCCCTGTAATCCCAGGCCCTGAAAAATATTGATACTTTAATTTTACTGTATAATTAGTTAGATGAATAATAGTCTGTTACCTGATAGTATTGCAATAATCAAGCTATCCATTGCAATAAGCTAATTAACCTTGGCAAGAAAATCTTCTTAAAAATATAAGAAAATAGCTTAAAATAAAATTCACTTTTTTGAAACAATAACTCTAATTGTTTTAAAAAAAACTTTCCTTGTATATCATTTAAAATGATTCATTTAGTAATAAATTATAAATTTAGTATATATTTTTCAATTTATAAATAATTTATTTACAAAATACCCTGTCAAATGTCATAATATGCAATATATTATATTGTTTTTGCAAAAATATTGATAAAAATATTTTATAATACAAATTCCGAAACAATTATATTTTCAAAGTTGTAGAAAATATCTTTAAAATTGTATTTATATAATGTAGATTTCCTTATTATTAAAAGATATACAATTAAGATTTTATAGACCAATCGCCATGAGCATCTTAATTATTGTTTCAATAATATAATGACTCATTTAATATAATTTTTACGGGTTATATTATAACCGATGTTAATATTTAATGAAAACTGGTTATTTCGCTCCAATGTATGTTAAGCTACAATAATTATTATACTACTGTAACAACAAAAACATTATAAACATTATTACTACAGTCATATGAAATTCATATAATATTATGCATAGCTGTATATTAGAGTACACTTACGGTATTATTGGTCCCAATTTTCGCATAAATTTATGAAACAAATAAATTACAACAAAAAACAAAACTTTTAAATAAATAGCAAATAATAAACAATAATAAAAAAGCAAAATGTGTGTGAAAGTGATTTCAGATTTTATGCAAATAATATGAAATTGAATGTGAAAAATTGGTTGTCACTTAATGGACCCACAATAATGGGTAATAAATTATGCGTGACTAATGTACTTTAAATAATGAAATTGCCTTTTTTGGTTTAATTTAAATATTTAGAAATTTTAAACAAATTTATTTATATTTTCAATAAGTTATTAATAATTTATTGCAATTAAAAGTAGTGTTTTAAATTAACTTTCAAATATAGAAATTTTATTCATAGTATTGTACAGTACTGTATAATTTATGTAATAAATAATTTTTTTTGATGTCTATAAAGATTGTTGTTCATAAAATTTATAAATGTCGTTATTGTAAATGTTTAGTTTGTAATATCATATATAGTTAAAAATTTATCTAAAATTTTATTCAATATTACAGTTATGATATTTTTAATTGTGTTTATTTTCAATTTACAATTTCGTAATTATCTATACAGTAATAATGTTTTAAATTATATTTAATAAATAAAACTTTTCAATATATTATTTTTACAATAATATTACTTAACATTTTTTCTTACATTATAGTAGACATAGTTATAAAATATTATTATTATTATGTAATTCATAAACTATTATTATTACTTTTAATTTATAATATAATGAAAGGTAGAGAAGGGGACAGTATGAAATGTTGACAAATAATAAATACCTTTAAAACAATAAAAGTGAGTATAAAATAAATAAACTGATGGTTGAGCTGATGATGAGATGGTACAGTGTGTCAGTACAATAGCGTACAAACATTATTATCCAAATCTCATGGGTTCACGAAATTTGCATTTCTTACATAACACATATTGTAATACATTGGTGCCATTGCAGTGCCGCATACACCGGGGCAGCGCCGACAGTACCAGTACCGGTGCCAATACGAAACTGTGCCATGCTAACATCATAAATACCGCCGTTGTCATTAATAAACTCATGTTATTAACGTTATATTATAGTTAACTAATAAATAATAAATTTTACTAATATTTATTTATTCAGATCTCAATTTATCGACCGTATGTTATATCAAAATATTATCGTTAATTAGAATATTATAATTAATGAAATTAGATATGCCTTTCTAGTAAAATGTTTGACTTAACAAACACTAAGATTGTAGTGATATATTAATTTAAATCATATGCACCCGGGTATGGCCTTGATAAAATTGCCAATATAATTTATATCTCTGATTCAATCCTTTGCGAAATAATGCAAAAATATAATTTATTTTATCGCTATTTCTCATAGTAATTATAATAAATAATTTGTAAAATGTTATATTATTGCCTCTGTGAAATTTGGTATTTATCAGTCATTAATTAATTGATATAACAATTAGTTAAATGCATATAACCTTGTGCATACTGCTTCATTAATTACAATATTTTTTTAATGATTACTGAAGTGCACACGTAAAAGGTGTTACCTGTTTAAAAAGTAATTAACTATTTTTATATGACGTTCAATATTTTATTGTAAATTTATCTATTCATAATCAAAGTTATTTTATTTAGAAACAATTAAAATATTTTGAAAAAGATCATAAATTAATTAAAGATATAAATAAAATTAATTGTTTATAAATCTCATGATTTTTTACCACGAATATTTATTACACTACAACAAAATTAAGTATTTGACAATTGTGAATAAAGTATTTTTGAAATTTCAGTATACTAAAATAATATTATAACGTAAATTATAAGATTAAGTTTCTATTGCATATTTTTACAAATTAAAATACAATTAATTATTATTAAAAATATTTATGTCTTAAATAATAAAAATAAAATGAAATTTATTTTGAAAATCACAGCTACTTGCTGAAAGGTTTCAAATGATAGTAAAATACTGTACAATACTGTATACGGAGAAGTGAAACGAATTTATGATTTATTTAAAATACTGTACCAAGCAAACATTACTAATTCGTGTGAAATCAATTGGGTAATTTGGTTCATCTAGTAAAATAATTTGTTTTGTAAAACCCAAAGTCGTTTTGGTAAATAAATAATAAACTAATAAATAATTTTAGATTAGTTGATTTATTATGATTTAAAAGAAAATAAACAATACGATATATTTCTATTATTATACAGTATATTTTCTAAGATATTTAAAAGTTTTAATATAATTTAAGTATAATTTTTTCGCGCAACTATTTTCCAGTGTTTTGATTCATTAAGCATCAAGGTTAATTCACAAGTCTAATATACTTTTTAATCAATAATATTCAATTATAGTAAACTTGTTAATTAACTTTAAGATTTAACATATTGGTATATAAATCACTTTGCAAATGCTATTTAAAAGCCACACTATTTTCATAGACACTAACAGTAAACCACTATTAATTATAAAATCAATCAAATAATATATAATTTAATAAACAACAGAAACATAACTATAAATACTTGGATAAAAATGTACTGTATGTATAATGATAATTGGTTTACGATGTGATATAAATAAGAAAGGGTTTGCATATGTATAATTAAAAGTATATTTAGTACACAAGCAAAATAAAAATAATTATAAGTTAAAAGTCGAGTTTATTTATTATAGCATTTGAATGCGGAAAACTAATCATATGTGCGACTAAACAATATATAAATAAATAATTAATAAACACCACCCCTTGTCCCCCTCCACATACACAGTATAATAAAGCGTAAAAGTGAAAGCACCGTTAGGTGACAATATAACAGATTGTCTGCCCCATTAAAAACAAACAAAAATACAATAATAATAATTCTTATTAACTCTCTCTCTCTCTCTCTCTCTCTCTCGACAAACTTTTCATAATAACTAATAAACCATAAATTTCAAAACGAGAAAACCTTCCAAAAACTTATTACACAACGAAAGGACAAAATCTTTTGTGTATTTCTTCTCACCGCCGATGACAGCAAACAGACAAAAGGAAACTTCAAATTAATCTTTTAATTCTCAATGATTTTTGTGTTATGTTTTTGTGGTATTATTTGCATTATATTTATGACAAATAACTTATCAGCAAATAGTACACCGAATTGATTGGTGTATATAAACATAAATACCATTTAAAATGCTAATCACTTTGTGAGAAAAAAATTTGTCTACTCAAATTTTCCACCATATTTATGGCTTATTAATTAGAAATAACATCAGTTTATAGATCATTGTTCACCGTACGTGCGGGGGTGATATACCCTTGCTGCTAACTATTATATGTGCCTATATATATATATATATGTGTTAAAGTAATTTTTAATTTAATTTACAGCTAAAGACGTTTTGAAAATTTGTGAATTATATTTGTAATTCACAGTTTGCTTGAAAATTATTCAATTAAACTATTTTTAAAGTTCTTTTTTAAAACCTAAAAGTTTTATTGAGACATCATGTCAACAGATAAAGATATAGTGATCACCGGTATGTCCGGTCGGTTCCCTATGTCCGACACCATCGACGAGTTCGCGAAGAATCTGTTCGACGGTATAGATATGGTTACAGAGGATGATAGTCGATGGCCTACCGGTCTGTTACATAATATACTAAGTTTTCTATTTAACTCCGTATGAATTAAAAATACAAATTAATTGTTGTGAATGCATATTAAATAGACTTATACGGCATATGTCCGCGTATGGGTAAAGTGCGAAATGTCGATAAGTTTGACGGCTTTTTCTTTGGACTAATGCAACAACTGGTCGATGAGATCGACCCCCAGTCCCGCATCCTATTAGAGACTACATACGAGGCTATTGTCGACTCCGGTAAATAAAATTTAATTTTCAATTTCTTTACATTTTAGTTTATTACAATTTATATAATTATGCTAGTAGAAAATAGATAATAACTTGTAATAAACATTAAATAAATTAAATCTTTAAAACTTAATATTATATATAACCCTGTAGTAAATAAAGTGTAAATTAAAATATTTAGGAATATTTTATAGTTTAATTTTCATGAAAGCATATAATAGATAATACCATCATCAAAGCTTTTTAAAATATGTTTAATTTAATAAACAAGGTATTAATCCGCAATCACTACGTGGCACGAGAACGGGAGTTTATATCGGAGTATCGATATACGCGTGCACTGAGGGCTATCCCGAGGAATTACAGCCCGACTTGCGGTCCAACAAACAGCAGACTCTGTTGCAAACGATGGGTAACCAAAAGGGACTGCAGGCTAACCGCGTGTCCTATGTGTTCGACTTCAAGGGCCCCTCAATGGTGGTCGACACGGCCTGTTCGGCCAGTCTCGCAGCATTTAACCTGGCTATTAATGATTTGAAATTAGGTAATTAATTAAATATTACCCTTAAAGTAACAGTTATATATTATACGAGAATAGGAACTTTAAAACCACTTTTGCAAAATTCTATATAAATATATTTATTAAATGAGTCACATAAATAAATATAATTTATATATAAACTGAATCATTCAATATAAATATTTGGTTATTCATTACATTTATCAGTTTATATATAAATTATATTTATTTATGTGACTCATTTAATAAATATATTTATATAGAATTTTGCAAAAGTGGTTTTAAAGTTCCTATTCTCATATTATACATTAAATTTCCATTTCATTCATTATTACATACTTTTTTAAAAAATAAAACCTTACAAGTTAGTTTTATTTAGTGCTACAACTAATATAAGTCATTATAGTTTAAGAAAACATTGAATTCTTAATTCATAAATTAGAAAAATATTATTTTATGGTGTGAAAATAAGTTAGCCTGTTTAAATTTGATCAAAAGTGTAATGAAAGACTTCATTTTAGTTTATGATTCCGATTATAATTTTTCGTAAACATCTGGTTTACATTGTAATGACAAATGCATAATTACAGTTTGAGACAATAAAATATAAATATAACTTCAAAAAGTAAATCAATGTCTCATAAATACTAAAGACATTCATTGATAAATAAACTAAAATGACCAGTGTTAATGTTTGTATAATCACACGTCAGGTAACGTGGACTATGCCGTCGTGGGCGGCACTCACATGACATTCGAGCCGTTTCTGAACCAAATCGGTCAGGAGGTTAGCCTATGCTCACCGCGAGGGGTGTCCGCCGTATTGGACCAAAATGCGGACGGATTTGTGAAGGCGGACGGAGTAGCTTGCTTATTTCTGACCCACAGACACAGGGCCCGTCGTGTGTACGCCACAGCCCTGGCCTCCCGACTTAATATAGACGGCAAAAAGACCAGGGGCATGTTTTTCCCGGCCTCTGAATCACAACAGGATCTCATGGTTATGGCCTATAAAGAGGCCGGCGTTGACCCGCTGAAGGTGAATCTCATTGAGGCTCACTGTACGGGCACCAGGGTGAGTTTCTGCAATTCATATGTCATAAATCGCATGTTAGTTGTGATATAAATAAAGTTTTCCGTACGCTCTCATCAAATAGGCCGGCGATCCGCAAGAAGTGAAAGCCATATACAACGCCTACTGTGCCCTACCCGGCCGTACTGAGCCCCTACATCTGGGGCTACTGAAGAGCAACATCGGTCACACTGAGGGCTGTTCCGGGATTGCGGCCATTATTAAGGTGTTGATCGCCTTTGAGAACGAATGCATTCCTCCCAACATTAACCTCAAACAGATTAAGGATGAGTGCAAACAGTACTGCCCACCACTGTTCCCTAACACCGAAAAGTTGTCGTATAAGCCAGGTATGTTATAGATTTTTAATTAGAGTATACACGTGTTTGTGATGCTAAATAAATGTGCCATGATCATGGCTAGGAATCGCGGGCATAAATAATTTCGGTATTGGCGGTCTCAACGGACACGTACTCATTGAATGCAACCATAAGTTGACGGATGAGGATAACCTACGAATAGCTGAGACAATGCCCCGGATTATCAACATCTGTAGCCGTACTGATGAGGGCATCAAATGTGTGATGGATTTCATTGAACACAACCCGCAAAAGATTACGCAACAGTTTTTGGCACTTCTGACGGACACTATGCGTGTGGAGCCCAGTGTTAATTCAGCCGGATTTCCATATAGAGGTAAAGATACCTTAATATAGAGATGGCAAATAATATTGTCAAGTTTTATAATTTATAATTCAAACAATTAATGAAAACGTATCCACAAAGTAAGATTTTTTCTGCCAATTGAATCAGAGAACTACGATTATATTTTTAATAACTTTAAACAATCACACCAATTTAGATTAATATTTCTAAATATTTTAGAAAATATTTTAAAGGTTATTTTACATTAAGTTAATGAATGCTCAAAAGAGTATTTTATTTTTTTAGAAAATATAGTTATATGAACAAAGAATAATTAATCCTAAAATTGCCATTCACGCTATAGATACTCTACATTGTAGTCTACAATAATGAAAATTTTTATTTTAGGTTCAATTATAATGAAGAAATTGAGTGAAGAAAACAATGAAATTATATATGAATACAAGAAACAGCATTCAATGTTCACCGAAAAGACTTTGAGACCACTTTGGCTACTGTTCCCCGGTTTGGGCGGACAATGGCCTGCAATGGCTAAGGCTTTGATGCCAATCAAGATATTCAGTGATAAAGTGGAGGAATGCCATCAGATTTTGGCTGAATTTGGTGTTGACTTAAAAAATCTGTTGTTATCTGAAGACAAGACAACGATCTCTACAATGACTGCAAAGTTCTGTTCGACGACTGCTATAGAAATAGCTTTGTTTGAAGTGATGAAAGCCATAGACATCACACNTTCCCTATCACTCGGAATACTTGCAAACGTCAGCCAAACCTATGATCGAGAAGATCAAGAAATATATACCTAAACCCAAACTCCGGTCCCGGAAATGGATGTCCACTTCAGTGCTCGAGTCGGAGCCAAAGGACAACCATCTCCGGTACGCATCGGCCGAGTATTTCGTCAATAATCTCGTAAATCCGGTCCAGTTTTACGACAAACTTCAGGAACTGCCAGCCGATGCGGTCATCCTAGAGATAGGCCCGCATTCGGTGTTTGCAAAAGTAGTGACCGAAACACTGGACTCCTGTGCCTACCTGTCCCTCATTAAAAAGGACTCCAACGATACAAATATGGATCGATTCCTGTCTGCCATCGCATCGCTCTACGAGTTAGGCTTCAATCCTCGTATCGATCGACTCTACCCTTCCGTTCAATGGCCGGTCAGTAGGAACACCCAATCGATAGGCGCCCTAATTCGGTGGGACCACAAACAGTCGTATGCTGTACGCAAATACCCGGATTATTTTTGTCGGGCTACTGCCGCGGACTTTAATT